TTTTAACCAATTGTTTTTTTTCTGCGCTCTTTGTTGTTGATTCTTAAATAAATGAATGAAGAATAAATGTGTAATTATGAACTTAAATAGGTCGAGGTTACAGCCTTTTTTTCGTAGGAATTTCGTTGAGTCCAAGAAAGACAGGTAATCATAAATATAAATGTTGTACAGATTAACAGTTCATACACTTGTAAAGTAAAATCCAAATCATTTTTTTTCCTTTTTTTCTTTGAGTGTGTGTGTGTGTTTGTGTGCGTATGTGTATGTGCGCATGTGTGTGTGTATGTGTGTATGTGAGTATGTGTGTGTGTGTGTGTGTGTGTGTGTGTGTGTGTGTGTGTGTGTGTGTGTGTGTGTGTGTGTGTGTGTGTGTGTGTGTGTGTGTGTGTGTTTACGTCACTTGCTCATTACCATATAAATAGGGTTTCAGTTTATCCAGTATACTTTTGATATCAAATGATAAATATAACCAAATCTTATTTCAATGACAAAAGAAAAAGAATACAATTTTCGTTGCTAGGCCTAATCTTATGAAGAGAACGTGACCATAGGCCTACATATGGATAAAAAAACATCTAAAGTAGGCCTACACAGAACAAAAATTCATATGGCATATGCATACATACTATATATCTAACTATCCAGCTATATATCTGCTTATATATTTGTGTGTGTGTGTGTTTTTATATGTATACGCTTTTAATATACATCTTGTCATCAATACCAACTTATAGTTCATACAACAGATTCACTCTGGTTTAAAACAAACAAATCTAATAAAATGATGTCTCAACCAAAACTTTTTTCTAATTCCTGTTGGCCAAGCGACGTATAGTAACCATTTTACAACATAAACTACCACGCCAACCTTTTTTTCCATAGCTCGACACCTACCTGTAGAAGGAGTGCTCCGTTCCTGACGATGACCCTCACGCAGTACTTGTGTCCAGAGGTGCCACATGGGACTACCACGTGCACGTCTTCGATCTGGGAATACTGCACCAGCACCTCCAGAAAGCCAGATGTCTGTGGGAAGAAGAAAAAGGGTCTCTGCTTACACTAAGAACGAGAGAATTCTTTGTAGTTGCGTTGTTGAAGGATGGGGGAGGGGGGGGGGGGAGTTAAACGGGTAGTTAATGATGTTACAGTATACTTACGTGTATTTATATTTCGTTTGTGCGTGTGTGTGAGAGAGAGAGAGAGAGAGAGGGTCGATACGTGGTTGAACTGACGTGTGTGTGTTGATATAATACGCGTTTTGGAGAGGCGAGGGTGGGAAATGTATGTTGGAAAGGGAATTACTCTTTAACTCAAAACACTGGCTGGGGAAAAAATAGTATCAAACAGGAATAGGGTGTGGCTGGATGGTAGAGGGAGAGGAAGGGCGTGGCCTACAGTGTTCATGACAGAAACTGAGGCAATTCTGTATTAATACATTCATAGATACATACAAAGACGGGTACACTTAGAGATAGGCAAGTAGGCAGAGAGAAACGTCCATAGATGGATAGATAGATACCGAGAGAGAGAGAAAAAAAAACGAGAGAGAGATTGATAGATGACTGATTGATGTTCTGATGAATTGATTGATAAATAGATATTAATTTGTTCCTCTTAAACGGCCCGATACCAAACTGACCCACTAAAAAATAGTCACATAATGAAGCGCAATCTATCCCCAAATTCAGTCCATTCCCTTTTCACTTGTGGCAGATCATGGCCAGTGGATGAAATATGATTGGAATTACTTTTTTTAAAGCGGAAAATAGATTAACATTAAAAACACTCATAAAAAAAACTAATCTTTTGCTGGAGACTCGAACGTATCAAAAAGTTTTTTTTTCTTCTTCATTTTTTTATCAAGAAATTTAGGCTTATTCCCGAGAATAAATCAGATATGCCTGGAGAGTGTCATTTTTGGGGGAGGAATTAACGAACACCAAGAAAGTTTCTGAGAAGTTTCTGACATGAATTTTAAATGATAAAGTTGCATGTTCTGAAAGACTTCTGACTGCTAAAGAAAAAAAAATTGTACGCGTGTTGCAGATAACAAAATGATTTCCCAAAATTTATGTTGAAATATAACGTTATGAAGAAAATCTGTATCACTTACATGTACTATATTTGTATATTGTTTAAATGTATAGTGCATTATATATGTATTACTAACCCTGCGCGCGCGGGTGTGTGTGTGTGTGTGTGTGTGTGTGTGTGTGTGTGTGTGTGTGTGTGTGTGTGTGTGTGTGTGTGTGTGTGTGTGTGTGTGTGTGTGTGTGCGTGTCAAAAACTCAACAAACAAATAAAACATACAGACACTGGTAATAACAAACTATAGAGAGACTATAACTGAAAGACAGAACAAGCGCTATTAAAGATGACTTAACGCGAGTTATATCGTTACTTTCCCGGAGAAAAAGTAGCTTGGCAAGTATCGCGATGGTAGTCGTTTTTTACCCTGTCAGACCGGAAGCGTAAAGTTAATGTTACAAGTAGTTCGACTTTTTTTTCCATTTCTATCTGTTTGCCTTTTGTTTGTTTGTTTTTTAGTCTTTTTTTCTTTTCTTTTCTTTTCTTCTCTGATCATACATTGTCCTCCAGAAACTTAGATAACATTGTTTTACTATCGTGATAATGGTGGTACCAGCATCTCTAGTATCAGCTGTTTCTTTGTGAAAAACTTCGTGATAGAATATACTCTCCAATATTTTTTTTTTCCGTCGTATTGTTTATATCTAAATTGGAATATCACTATTAAATATATATTGTCAATATTCTTATTCGCACACAATTGCACAGGAACATGAATTCAAGCACACGTACGTGATTGATACTCTCGTTTAACCTTGTCATGGTCCTCAGTGGCCCTCCCCTATTATCAATACTCCTCTCCTTCACTCTCACTCTCGTTCTTCCCCTTGCTCTCGCTTTTGCTATCACTTTCTCACTCATATTCTTTCTTTCTTTTTCATTTACTCTCTCTTTTTCATTCACTCTCTCGCTTTTTCATTCTCTGTCTCTCTCTCTTCTCTCTCTCTCTCTCTCTTCTCTCTCTCTCTCTCTCTCTCTCTCTCTCTCTCTCTCTCTCTCTCTCTCTCTCTCATTCATTCTCTCTTTTTCATTCACTCTCTTTCTCATTCTCTCTCTCTCTCTCTCTCTCTCTCTCTCTCTCTCTCTCTCTCTCTCTCTCTCTCTCTCTCTCTCTCTCTCTCTCTCTCTCATTCATTCTCTCTTTTTCATTCATTCTCTCTTTTTCATTCTCTCTCTCTCTCTCTCTCTCTCTCTCTCTCTCTCTCTCTCACACACACACACACACACACACACACACACACACATACGTACATAAACTTACAAACGAAAAGACGTACACAATTTCAGAACACAAGCACCTGCACATTTCCCCCCCTCTACTTTATCACCCACTTACTCTGAACCCATCTTTATTTTTATTTTCTTCACCTTGTTCTACTTTCCGTCTGTCCTTCTTTTCCTTTTCCGTCCCAAATTAGTGTTCTATTACTGACACACAATATTGAAGAAGGAGAATAAGGAGAAGGAGAAGAAGAATGAAGAAGAAAGAGAAGAATAAGAGGAAGAAAAAAAGAGAAAGAAAAAAGAAAAAGAAAAAGAAGAAGCAAGAGGGAAAAAAAAAGAAAGAAAAAATCGAGAGAAAAAAAAATATGTTCTGAAAAAAAAAACATCAACTGAAGAAAGAAAATAATAAAAGATAAAACAAATAAATAAAATAAAATAAAAAAGAGAAAAAATAAATAAAAGCAAAGGGTACATACTCGACTTTCACTGTGACATTATCTAATAGTCCCTGGCCTCTATCCTGCAGTGAATTATAAGAATTTAAACTGAGAAAATCGTGGTGTCTTTTAACGCCTCTTTCTTTCCTCAAGTCTTCGTGGAGAACTACGACAAGGAAGAAGAAAATAATGAATAGATAAGGAGATAAGGAGAATAAGAAATACAAGCAAAAGACGAAGTTGAAAGAAGGAGGAGGAGGTGAAGATATTGAACGAGACAGAGACGATAGAAAAATAGCAAGGAGCAAAAATTAAAAAAATACAATAATAATAATAATAAATAGAAGAAGAAAATGAAGAAGACAGAGACGAACTAGAACAAAATAATAACAAGACAGAGAAGTGATACATAAAAGCCTACTTTTAATCCCTTAGAAATTGAGCTTAGATATATAATCGTTCCAAATACGCACAAATTCCAGCCCCCATACATTAACAAACAACAACGAAAATATACCCATCAGAATCTGCAAAAGTAAGAAAATAAGGGAAAAAAACAACAACGAAAGAAAACGCTTTGATTATCACTTGACATGATTTACTGCAATAAAAGCAATAAAACACACGCGGCCGATATTAAGGTCGCAAACCACGTCACCGCCAGAGACAGGAGGGGGACGTACCTCGGGGTCACACGTCGGGGCGTAGGAGGGGCTGGATTAGAGTATCCGAGGTGGATAGTGGGCTGGATTTATCGGTTCTAGGTGGGTAAGGAGCTGGATTTATCGGTTCTAGGTGGGTGATGGGTTGGATTTATCGGTTCTAAGTGGGTGATGGGCTGGATTTATCGGTTCTAGGTGAAACATGGGTTAGGTTAATCAATTCTAGGTGGATTAGTCTATCCAAGGTGGAAAATCAGCTGGATTATTCTATCGAGGTTGAGAATGGGTTAGATTAGTCTGTCTAGGTAGATAACCAGCTGGATTAGTCTATCGATTTACCTATCCTAGGTGGAAAATGGGTTAGATTAATCTATTCTGGATGGAGAATGAGCTGGATTAGTCTATCCAAGGTGGAGTTATCAATTCTAGGTGGAGTTATATATATATTTTTTTCTTTGGAGAATGAGCTGGGTTAGTGGAGAATGGCCTGGATTAGTCTATCCTCGGTGGATAATCAGCTGGATTTATATATTCTAGGTGGATAATGGGTAAGGATAGTCTATTCAAGTTGGAGAATGGGTTAGGTTAC